ACTGTCTGACGCGTCTGCCTCCGCGACCCGAAAGGAGAAGCGGCGATGGAAGATGAAGATGAAGATGGAACAAGTGTCGATGGACATAATGGGTCCACTGTCTACCGCAAAAGGAGAGTAGTTACGTTCTGATGATGTGCGAAAAATTCTCACGGTTGATGGAGGCTTGTACGATGTCAAACCAGTAAGCCGTGACGTTTGTCACGATATTTCTGAATGAATTGATGTACTGAGTTGGTTTTTTATAGCAGGTTGACACTGATCAAGGCAGACAGTTCGGAAGTTTGCTGTTCAACGAAATGTGCCGCCTTTTAGAAATTCAGAAGAAAAGATCAAGTGTCTTCCACTGCTGTCATGTAGGATGGTTGAACAGTTCAACTCTGTCCTTTAACAACACATGTCGGCATATGTGCAGTAACATCAGCGTGATTGGGATCAGCATTTAGATTTTCTCAGTATGCCGTATTGAGCAAGCAGAGGAATTCTCGCCAAGTTTTCTTACGTTCAGGCGAGAAGTCTACCTACTCACGGATATGGTGTATGAAACCGCAGGTAATGGTGCCACGTCTGCAGCATTCACGAAAAACGAATGAAGCATTCGAAGAAGTGTTTCAGATTGTACGGCAGCTCATCATAATGGAGCATGGAGAAATAATATATAAGCTTATCAACTTTCACAAAGGAATAATTCCTTTCGCGATTTAATTACCGACGCATTTCGGTAAAAGTGCTGCATATCTGCGAGTAGAGAAGATATAATTGACACATTGACTCCATCATGTGTAATTGATATTCTTCTATCGACGTTCCTGAGACATTCTGCATATACAGATAGCTTAATTATATTCTCAGCATTCTAATCAAAGCTACGTTCATGTTGTTACCATGAATGAAGTAACAGGAGTTGCGAAAGTACGTATCTCCAAAAAACTTAAATCTGTTTCGGAAAATACTGAAAAAGAATAAGCGGTGACTAGGTTCAAATGGACAGATTTATATTTAAAAATGTGAGTTGACCTCTCCTATCAGTAAACAGGTATGCTTCCGTACTTAAGTGTCTGCCATATTTCATTACCGTAATTTTAAATATACGTGACCTGCAGATCTGCAGAATCGAATGAACAGGTATCACAGGCTGTGTCACTGAGGTGAATAGTGCAGTTGTTTCGTAGCGAAGATGTAGTTAATTTCGCGGGTTTGTGTAAAAAATGACCAATAACAATGGCTCGGACAATGAGCATGAGTCGGCAGCGGCGCAGCGAGGTGACTGTGTTGACTTTGTCGAGCCAGAGGACTCATTTACTTACGACGACTTAATGAATACTGACCTGGTAGCAACGACGACCGACGACCATCACATTGTTAATGAAGGTAGTAATGTGGATTTTTTGCGCCGAGACGAGAACTTCGAAGAAGAACTAGGGTCTCCAGCAGAAAACGCGCTGTCCGAAGATTTCAGTGGCGTCGCCAAGTATGAGGTGGTAGACCTGGCGGGCGATGACCGTGCTGGCCGGCCTGTGATCGTTGTCTACGCTTACCGATTGCCATCGAATTTGATCTTTGACTATGAAAAATTTTTGCGGTAAGTCTTGATGCGCAGTGCATGCCTCTATGACTGATTCAGTAATCGTTCAATATTCAGTTACTTGACATACACGTTCGACCGGTTCGTCGACCAGGATTACACCATCATATACTTTCATCACGGGCTACACAGTTTCAACAAGCCATCCATCCGATGGCTAATCCGCGCCTACCATTTGCTGGATCGGAAGTAAACAAAGTTGCGGCACTTATTTCCCTCAACGTTGTTTGGCTTTAGGTATAAGAAGAACCTTAAAGCTTTGTACTTGGTGCATCCTACGAGGTTTATAAAGTTTTTGTGGACCGTCTTTCAGCCCCTGATCAGTGTGAAGTTCGAGCGCAAGATTCGTTATGTGAACTATCTGCACGAGCTGCGTGATATTGTTCACTGCGATCAGCTGGTAATTCCGAAGGAGATAGAAGAGTACGTGAGTTCATTGCTTTCTGTAAAACGTGCTATGCTGCGCGATCAGTTACCATGAAGGTATTTTTTGATGCTAAAATATTTTGAGATGTTACCTAGCAGCTTCCAGTACTAAGTGACTGTGCAAATTCCAAATTTCAGAATTAGCATTTTGTAATTAGTAATGAAACCATCTTATGTCGATTGCAACTACCGTTGCTCCTGCAAATGAACTTGCTTGACTGATTAATGCAGTGTCACTTACACAAAAAACTACTATGCAGATCAAATTTTTTATTTAGACCACTTCTTGCATCAAACCGAAAATTTTGGCAGGAGATAATCTACGAGTAAATGAGTGCCATTTGTATATTTTTTTCAGGGGTTGTTTCTTGGTAGTATCTAAGCACTGGCTATAACTTATGATTTATAAAAGTTAGCATCTTTATATTGATATTCCTTAAATGCTTCAATACGGAATCAAGAAGTGAATAAACAAACTCTCATCTTAGGATAGGCACCAATTAAAAGACCTTCTTGGGTATAGTTGTTCTCGTTTAAAAGATGTGCCTAAACCTGTGAGGTATTTGTGACTTAGTTAAGAAATTTAAATTCTAGTATAGAAGAGCAAAGAATAAACATAGAGAGCTAATAAAAATGTTTAATGAACAGAATTTTGACGCAGCGGCGGATTTAATTATATATCCGTTAACAACATTCGTCAGCACAAACTGTAACAAGTATTACAGATTCCTGTCTTACACCATTCATCAAGCCGGTGGAATGGTTTGCAAAGCTCAGTGCTTTGGCGTGATCAGTTTCAGGTCTGCGTAGGTCTGCATCTGCGTGCGTTCACGACTGTTTCGGATATGACGACATGTCTAACTTACCGTAGTAAAAGGTTTCAGTATTTGTAATTTGGTATAAGAATATTGTCATCTATGACCAAATATAGACTGTCAGGGCCTTGAAGGTACGATGCCCATTCTGTATTGTATTGAATACTCTTTACAGTGCAACTGGTTGATAGCGGTTATTTCAGTTAATTATTAACATGCTTGTCGTTGCAAATCAAATACATGACATTGATTTTGAATACTCTGTTTTATCCTCTCGACGTACTCTCCGTATCATACAGATTGGTTTGTGTAGAAAAACAGAAAGGATTTATCATAGCATAGATTTTACACATTCAACGTTCGCACTGGTCTCCGCCAAGGTTGCGTCCTGTCCCTATCGTGTTTGTGTTGTACATGGGTAGAATAGTCAGGAACTGCCAAGGCGATGAGGGTATCGGTATAGGAGATGTTAAGTCGAGAAGGTTGCTGCTTGCAGACGACCTTGTTT